ATACGTAAAATAAAGCAATGAACTTTAATTCTATTATAAATAATGACACCTCAGTACAAGAAGATAGAATTCCAGGGGACACCCAGTAAAATTTTTGTCTGAAAAAGATGGTAGGTCAGATAAGTTTGGGAATCTTATGTGCTGGATGTTATACACTTTGCTGGGGTGCTGGGAAACCCAGAGGACGCTCAGAAACCAGGTAATGCCAGGAACCCAGAGGATGCTGGGAACCCAGGTGATGGGGGAACCCAGGGGATGCTACTGAACTCATTCTCTGCGCTGTGGGGATGGTGACGGGGATCTAACTCAAGGCCTTGTGCGTGTGAGTTCAGCTGCCCTCACACAGTTATTCCTTGGGGCCCCCTGGGGAAAGGGCCTCTGCAGCTGTCATGAAGGCGAAGCTGAGAGAGCACTTCGTTCTGGAACATCTCGGGGACTCCCTTGAGTGTCCTTAAGTAAGGCCCGAGGAAGAGATGCACAGAGAGAAGAGATGGGGGTGTGAGGGTGGAGGCAGAGCTCGAGGGGTATAGCCGCAAGTCGCGAGTCCCCCGCACTTCGAGAGGCAGGAAAGGGCCTGCTCTAGAACCTTCCATGAGGGGGCAGCTCCACCCACTCCTTTCTTCAGGACTTCTGGCCCCTGGGCTCTGAGAGAATGTCTTTCTGTCATTTCAGGCTGTGGTGATTAGATGACGATTCCCTTGGTACCCGACCCAGCAGCAATTTCTTAGTTCTCTGTATAACTGAAGGATGATTGTGTGTTTGTTGGTTTTGAGGTCCCACCTGGTAGTGGTCAGGGTTTACTCCTGGCTCTGTGCTCAGGGGTACCTCCTGCTGGGCTCAGGGGAGACCCTCTGGGGTGTCAGGAGTTGAGCCCGGTAGGTTGTGTGCAAGGCGAACTCACTACCCACTGTGTCATTGCTCCGGCCCCATGAGGGGCAATTTTTCAAAGGTGGCTGATGAGCCAAATAATACAGCATAACTTATCGCTTTGCAAGCATTGCTCTGGGTGTGATCGAAAGCGTCTGTCTAGCAAGGACATCAGCCACACAACTGTCATATTAAAAATAGAAATGCAGGCACAGGCACGTGAGTGCGAGCAGCGAAGGAAGGACTTCACCCAAGCCGGCTGCCCCCCCACACCCCCAGTGCCTCTGAACCTCCACAGGTGGCTGTGGGAGTGGGCTGGCCTCGGGGGTGCACAGGAATTGGAGGGGTGCAGGAAGGCAGCTCCTTGCAGTCATGTGGGCGTCTCTGTGGTGCTGATCAAGAACTTCGTGGATGAGCCCTTTCCTTTCCGGTTTCCAGGAATGTGTTGGTGTGAGTGAGCATGTGCATGAATGTGCATGCATGCATATACGTGTGCTTGCATGTGTGTGCATGCATATGTGTGTGTGCATGCAGGTGTGCAGATGTGCTCATGTGCGTGCATGTGTGCATATGTGCATACAGGAGTGTGCATACAAATGTGCATATGCACTCATGTGTGCGAGTGTGTATGCATGTGTGCACACATGTGCGTGTCCATGCACACGTGTGCAAATGTGCACGTGTGTGCACATGTGTGCACGCAGGTGTGTGCTCATGTGCATGAGTGTGCATATGTGCATGTACACACATGTGCACTACATGCATGTGTGCATATGTGTGCAAGTGTGTGTGCATGTGAGGGAGTGCGTGTATGCACGTGTGTGTGCACGTGTGCAGGCGGCCTTCTTTCTCCTCTCCAAGGAAATCTTTAGCCACAATGCCGGCGCACCAGCCTCTCCTCCCTTCCTCTGCACCTCAGCCCTGAGGCTCTCAGCGAGCCTTGACCGAGGGCAGCAGGGACTGTTGGGAAGCCAAGGACGTGAGCCCTGACCTGTGGTTCTCTGATCACACGGCCAGTGTCTGAGTCAGCTCGGATGGTTTGAGCAGGAACCCGCGGCCTGGCTGAGAGAGGAGGACAAGCAACTGCTCTGGCTCTCCAGAGGACACCCGGGGGAGCCTTGTCCCCCTCCGGACTCCTCCTGGGCAGAGTGCACACAATGTTCAGTGGACACCACTCCAAGGACCTGGGGCCCATCTCGGGGCCCACCTCACAGCCCCCTCCAAGCCTCACCCCCAACCTGAGGCCTTAGACCCGCACACGACCACATGGAGGGGGGAGGGGTGAATGCTGCTAATATCTAGCTTGCCACAGGCTGTGCATGGAGAGGGGTCATTTAAACTCCAGACTCCCCGAGACAAACATCAGATGAAGACAGAGCAGGCACGAGGGGCTGAGAGACGTGGAGCAGGCCTCTCTGGGAATGTTCTGGAATGTGTTGAGGACCACTAAAGGTTCAGGGGAGTGCGGAGCTGGGGACAGGTGCAGTGGACTCTGCCTTCCTCAGGCCCGGGGCAAGAAGCACCCCCAAGGCCACCCCATGCCCAGCCGGGAGGCCAGGAGGGTTGGGAGGCCCATGGGAGTTGGGGAGAAAGAGAAGCGGGATGTGCAAGTGGATGCAGAGCGTAATGCCTCGGGACAACACAAGGACGATGCCAGACAGAGGCGGGCACGAGATGGGATGTGGGGTGTTGAGGGGCTACCACTGGTTCTCTGCCCGGGACCCCGGCAGGAGACACAGAGTCTGGTGAGAGACGGGAAGCAGAGGGACAGAGGAGACCCCAGGCGCCCCCAATCAGAGGGAGGGGAGGCGGGGAATGAGGGCCTCGGCGGAGGTGATGAGACGCCGGATTCTTGGGTCTCTGTTGTGGGAGGCGGCAGGGTGAGAGTCCAGCTATCAGGGACACATGAGGAGGAAGATGAGGACAGAGAGGGCGGGGCTGAGAGAGGAGAGAGGTCTGGGGGAGAGAAACGGAGAAAGGGGAGAAGGAGCTGCAGGAGTCGAGCCTTCTTGTGTGGGCACGGCGTGGGGTACTGACTCTACCAGTTGTTTTCCAAGTGTTATCTTAGCCCCTTTCCCAGACAAGCAAATTAGCACGTTTGAGAAAAATACCGGGCTCCCAGCTCTGCCTGCCTCCGAGACTCAGAGCTCGGAACAAACACCGTTTCCCGGGGATTGCAAACAAGAGGGAAAGGGAGAGCAAAGTGCCTGCTCCCCGCTGCGTCCTTTCTGTGGGGTCCTTGGCACCAGCTGCTGCCCATGGCTGTAGCCCCCGGGAAGCCTCGCGTGGCTCTCACACCCACACAGAAAGAAGCTGAGAGCAAAAAGAAGGAAGGGGTTGGTGAGGCTGCATGGAGTCTGGGGAAGGTGCCTCCACCTCCCTGTTCGTGGTCAGTTGGGGTGGGGAGGAGATTCCCAAAGGTTCCATTTGGTGGGATATACTCAGGAGACTCTTCCTCCTGGCCAGAGCACGTGCGTCCGTCTGCACAGGGGTATTCACCAGAGAGCCCAGGTTTGCCTCCATCTGGACTGGAAAGGCCCGAGGCAGCAGAGAGTATGTGGGTCTGCTGAGCTTGCGGGGCCAGCACCAAGCACCCAGCAAATGCTGATGGAACACATGATGCAATTCCCTCCATGGTCTCATCCACAGACCCAGGTCCTGAGGTTGCCAGACAGACCATGCTCAGAGCCGTGTGCCTGAGTCTGCTCAGCCTTGCCACGTGGAGTTGGTGATGCTTCTCTACTGGCTATCCCCCTTGCCCTTTCAGCTTCTCCTCGGGTGCTCTTCACGTCAGGGGATGGGATGCCTCGCTCCAAAACCAGGGCTGCTTTTTCTGGAGTTTCTTTTTTTTATGGGGGGGTATTGGGGCCACACTGGGGGTGCTCAGGGCTTACTCCTGGCTCTGTGCTCACAGATCACTCCTAGTGGTGCTTACAGGGGTCATATGGGGTGCTGGGGATCAAATCTAGGCCACCAGCATGCAAGGAAAATGCCCTCCCTGCTGCACTATGGCTCTGCTCCCCAAATGTCCTTCTTTTTCATGCCTGCATCTCCTGGCCTTATTTCCATCTCTGAAACTTTGAGTTTCCAACTGCCTCTCTTCATAGACCACCATGGTGGGTAAGGACATGGGCTCTGCAGTGTTTGGGTTGAGACAGAAGCTCTGTGCTTGGCCACTTAGAGCAGCAAGCATAGATCCTCTGTGCCTCATGCCTGTGTGTGTGTGTATATACATACACATATGTATATATATGAACTGGCAATTGAACAGTATGGACACTTCCTAGGGTTCTTTGGAGATGTCATTAAGGTGATACACACCATATGCTTTCCAGAGTGATGGCAATGACAGCACCTTCGTCATTAGCATCCCCATCAAGCTCACCACACCATCATCATGAACCACCATCATCACGACCATCACTAACACCACCAACATCATCACCATCATCACCATCACTAACACCACCGCCATCACCCACCATCACCATCACCATCATCACCACCACCATCAGTAACACCACCAACATCACCATCACCATCATCACAACCATCACTGACACCACCACCGCCATCACCACCATCATCACCACCACCACCTCCTCCCTCGGCACCACCATTATCTCTTTAGTGGCACTGTGAATGTCAGCCCCACCAGGATCAGAATCACCGCCCAGCCCCACCCTGTCATCCTCACTGCCATCACCATTACCACTATTGCTCTCCGCCAGTGCCACCCCGATAGATTGCACATCATCCATATGTTTAAAGTGCAGCCTATAGTGCCCCGGGGGTCCTCAGGGGATCATATGTAGTGCTAGGGACAGAATCAGGGTCGGCCATGGGAGGGCAGGGCGCTTTCTTGTATGCAGAAGACTGTGTTCAATCCCTGGCACCAACATGGCTCTCTGAGGCCCAATGATCCTGGTGCAGAGCCAGGAGTCAGCCCTGAGCACTACCAGGTGGGACCCCCAGACAAACACACACACACAAACAACGACGGCGTCCTCTCTGCTTCCCTGCATGGGTAATGCACCCACCCCAAGCCCCACGCCATGACCTGGGCTCCCGTGCGGTACAGGACCCTGTCCCGGGCACACACAGGGGCTGGCAGGCGGCGGGTGCCCCCTCACCTGGATCTGGGTGTGCACGGTGCATTTCACCAGCTTGAAGTTCTTGCCAGGGTTGAAGCTGTTGCTGTAGAAACAGACCTTGAGGATGCGAACGTCCTCCTTCTCCACGTCCACGGGCACCACCACCACGGGCTCCGGGGGGCCTTCCGGCCGGCGCAGTGTGCCCACCTTCACTCGGCTCGGGGGCTCGGACACCCCGGACATCCTCTCGGAGGGCAGCTAGGGCCAGCACATGGCAGGGCTGCGGGGACAGCAGAGGAACAGGGTGAGGTGGGGGCGCAGTGCCCGCAGGGTCCTCTTACTTCTGTCCCCAGGACCATATGGGCCACACCATCCCTCTCCCCCAAACTGCCCTGGAAGGCTGGACGTGGGTGACCAGGGAGAGGCAGGTGTCAGCATTTGGGTAATGCTGCCTGGGGCCACTGAGCTCCACTTGGCCCTTCCCCTGCAAGCCCCCTCCTGCCCACCCCGCATCACCCCCCACCCCTTCCCGCAGGCTCCAGGCAAGGGCTCCACACCCTAGATACAGCAGCCTGGCCCCGGACCCCGTGGAGCCGACAGTGGGAGACAGTGGCGAGCAGGAAGGAAGCTGGGCAGGAACAGGGTTGCAGACCAGGAGGCTCCCTCTCCCGCAGGGGGCCCGGAACGCAGAAGAACAGGAAGTGCCAAGGCTGGAGAAAGAGACTCAAGACTGGGCGCACGCAGAGCACATGGGGAGCCCTGCTCCCATCCCAGCACCACACACTGTCCCCCCCCCCCCCCATGAAGCCAGGGAGAGCACTGCCAGGTGTGACCTCTGAGCCACAAAACAAAACAGAGCAATGAGAAGCGCCCAGGAGAGGGAGCCCCTCCTCTGTCTGAGGTCCCACCACCGCACCCAGCTCCCTGGGGAAGAAGCAACAGGAATGTTCTAGGACTGCCTCCTAGCTGCCCATTTGGGGGCTATAGGGGGAGCTCCCAGGCCCCGTTCTGACCATTGGGCCAGACATGTAAGTCCTAAGAATACCAGGATTCAGCCAGCAGGGCCTGGCTTCTGGTTCTGATGTGACCGTGACCCCTGCATTTCCCATGGGCATGGGGTGGAGGGCCCGAGTCAGCCAACCATGACCCCTGGGCTGCAGTGGCCCACCCACTGGGATCGGGAAGCTTTGAGGAAGGGAAACCCTCAGTCCAGGCTCTGTGCACAGGTTGGCCCCGTTCCCACAGACGAGGAAACGTCGGCGGGGAGCTCACGGTGCCAGAGCACATGCTGTGTGTCAGGGGCGCCCCCGCCACCCCCCAGCTGCCTGGGAGGAGACCCGTGTCCCGGCACTGCGCTGGCTGGCACAGCTCAATCCAAGAAGCTGCGTGCTCAGTTACCCAACAGCCCCACACCCCGACCCTGCCCACTCACACCCACTGTGGGAAGCCTGAGAGTCAGGCCGAGCAGGGACCCCTGAAGCCACCTCCCTTCCTGCTCCTGAAAGATGGGGTGATGGTGGGGCCGGAGCGAGAGTCCAGAGGGCAGGGGGTTTGCATTGCACGCGGCTCACCCGGGTTCCATCCTCAGCACCACACAGGGTCCCCCGAGCAGCACCCAGAGTGATCCCTGAGCACAGAGCCAGGAGTAACCTTTGCACATCTCTGGTTATAACCCCCAAATCAAATCATCATCATCATCATCACTGTAGCACTGTCCTCCCACTGTTCATTGATTTGCTTGAGTGGGCCCAGTAACATCTCCATGGTGATAATTGTTACTGTGTTCGGCATATCAAATACGTCATGGGTAGCTTGCCAGACTTTGCCGAGATACTCTCGGTAGCTTGCTGGGCTCTCCAAAAAGGCGAGATACTCTTGGTAACTTGCTGGGCTCTCCAAAAAAGCGAGATACTCTCGGTAGCTTGCTGGGCTCTCCGAAAAGGGTGGAGGAATTGAACTCGGGTTGACCATGTTGGCTGCTTGCAAGGCAAACACCCTACCCACTGCGCTATCACTCCAGCCCGATAATAATAATAATAATAATAATAATAATAATAATAATAAAAAAGAGGTGGGTGGCACTGTCAGAGGGGGCCTCCTGAGCGTGCAGCTCTGCAGATTACCTGTCAGCAATGTGTAGACCCCCTCCCCCCTCCCCAAATGTCACCTGATTCACCATATATCCTAGCTTGGACCCCTCCCAGCTGCTCTCCGGAAAATCAAAGCCAATGTTCTGGCCTGCTGTGCGGGCTGACTCCGGGGGTGCACACTGCTCCACAGCCCGGGCTCAGTGACCCTGCTCCACCCAGGAGCACCCCATCCACGGAGCACTCCTGCAGATCTGAAGGCCCCCCCAGACCTGCACATGACTCTGGCTGTGGATAGCCACCTGCTCCCCTGACAGTGCTCCTGTGAGCCCCACACTCACATGCAGTGTTCGTCCTCCTCCTCATTGTGTCCCCAGAGACACTGGCCAGTCACAGCACCTGGCCCAGGGCCACCCGGGGCCCAGCACCGCCCAGCACCCAGGGCTGCCTCCTCTGTCCTAGTGGGAGAGAAACACGGCAGAGCAGGCTCAGGGGGGAGCAGGGGCATTTTACTTCTCTGTAAGTCTTATCTCTTGGGCCCCATAGTGGCCAAGGTGCTACCCAGGGCAGCTGTTCCCGCCCAGAACCTTCTAGAAGAAAATCAACAAGCCAACCTGCGGGAGAAATAAGACATTCACTTATGGTGCAGGAAGCTAAGAGAGACTCAAGTCCCTTCCGGGTCCTCCCCATGTCCCCAGCCTGGCCTCCGTCCTATCGACCCCATGAGCAGTGTCCACCTGACACCCCATGAAGGCGCCCGGACAGGGCCGGCCCTGGAGCCCCTAGAGGGAGAGGCCTTGCCCGAGGGCTGAGCGTGGGGCCGTGATGTGGAGGGAGGATGAGTCAAGGCGGCGTCAGGATGCTGAGAAGACGGCACACAGCAGACTCACCCTGGCTGGGACTTCCCGCCCTTGCCCTGGGCTGCCACACCCCAGTGACCCTGGGTACCACTCACTCCAAAGTCAGAGTCAGCACTGGGGGAGGGGCAGAGGGGACAGCGGCTCCCTCCGTGGGTGCAGTGTCCACTCTTGTGGACTCAGGTGGGCGTTCCCCACCCTGCAAGGCCCTCAGGAGATCCATTACTCTGGAGAGCCCTGTCACTTCTGGGAACCTTCATTGCTTCTGGGTACCCTCATTACTTGGGGGACCCCATCATTTCTGGGTACCCCATCACTTGTGGGGATCCCCCTTTGCCTTTGGGGACCCCCATCACTTGAGGAGATTCCATCACTTGTGGGGATCCCCATCGCTTCTGGGGACTCCCATCACTTGTGGGGACCCCTGTCACCGAGGCCACATCGGCTGCCGCAGTAGCTTGCATGCCCGCCATGGGGCCAGAGGAAGAATTGGACCCCCATTCCCTTGCAATTTCAGTACCTACTTGTGCAAACCCGGGCTGGCCTGGCACCTCCAGGGCGAGGGGCCGGCATGTCCCCTTCTGCTGCCCACCCTCCAGGTAGGGTCTGAGGTGTCCAGTCCTCCAGGGGCGGTCAGTTGGTTCCCCGCTGGTCCCCGAGAGCAGACAGTGCGCAGTGTTCTGAGCTGAGCCGCACTCCCGCTGCCTGAGTCACTTCCTCTTACATTTCCACGTCAACCAAACAGGGAACACAGCGCCCCCTCCCCCCTCCCTGCTCTGGGGCCTGCTGAGAGCTACTTAGCGCACTGGCAAGGCTTGGAGGGGGCTGGCAGCAGCCCTTTCAGCCCCCACTTCTGCCGGCCCTAGAGGAACCCCCAATCCCTCCTTCATGAATCTCTTCCCCTCTGCTGCTCAAGCCGGCCCTGCCTGGGGCTCTCCCCAGGGCGCGCTGAAGGGCACTGGAATTCAATGGAAACTGGAGAAAATGTACTGAGACTCCAGGGCACGTGGCCCTCCAGCCCCTGCCAGCCCTCTGCTGGGCTCCTTTGGGTTCACACTGCCAGCCCCCGCGTCAGCTCAGCCGGGGAGGTGTGAGAGGCATCAAGGGGCCACAGGGAGATTGACCCGTCCTGCTCCCTGCAGTGCTCAGGTTGGCCAACCTCCGGCGGCTTGCAGGGCTCCCGCCTTCCAAAGGCCGTATGTGCCCAGGGACTGGGCTGGGGGAGAACATGGCCAGCACGCAGGACGCCCTGAGTTGGCCCCCTGCCCCCCCACGGCCCACCACGCATGGCTGGATCTAAGCCTTATTCCTGCCCCCAGCCCCAAGAGCCCCCCAGCACTGCTGTGTGTGGCCCCGAGGCAATGCCAGGAGCCATCCTGAGTGCCGACACGCCCCGCATGGACTTCAGAGGGGCCTCCCTGGAGGTCAGCCACATTAACAGGCTCATTGGGACCATCGTCATCAGGGCTTTCTGCACCACCACCTGGCTGCTGTGCTCAGGGGCTGCTCCTGACTCTGTGCTCAAGGATTACTCTTGGCGGTGCTTGAGGGACCGAACATGAGTCAGCTGCCGGGCAGGCACGTCCCCTCCCTGCTGTGCTCCTTATTGGCCAACCGCACATGGCTTAGGCTGGCGCGTCCCTCCTTGCCTCCCTCCCTTCTTTTTCCCTTGCTCTTCGAGTCTCTCCTGCCTCTTGCCCACCCCCTGGGGAGTCACACCACATGCTGGAAATGTGACCCTCCACTGAAACAGGAAGTGGGGGGGTGGTCTGTCCAACAGGCTCAGTGCACAGAGAAGTGGCAAAAGATAAAAGCGAAACAGTGGCCGTGCAACCCAGGGGCCAGTAGCGGGGCCTGATGGTCTGTTTGGAGCTGGAGGATCACAAAAAGGGGTGGCAGGGGGTTGAACTGCGACCCCAAGGCAAAGGAGATCCTGAAAAATGGGGACACCTGGAACGTGGCACGGGGGTGGGGGCAGGGGGACCTGTCACCATCAGGGAAGTGGCACCCAGCAGGGCAGGAGGAGCTTTTCCACATGCAAGCGCTCTTCTGGCCGGAAGATGAGGCCAGGCGGGGGCAGGAAGTGGTAGAACTGGCCGGGACTGGGTAGACGTGGCCCCAGCTGGAGACTCTGGGGCAGGGAGCCCGTCCACAGCCGCTGCCAGTGTCCCCAGTGTAAACGCAGCCACTGCATGTCCCAGAACCCTGCTGCACCCTGAGTCCCCTGCAGGCCTGAACGGTGAGAGCGGGAGAGACGGACCACGGGGCTCAGCCTGAATGTCCCCTGACCCCTCCACTGTGCCATGCATTTTGGGGGTCACCCGACGCCCCTGCCT